ATTATGAGAGCTTTAGTGCAATGTTTTGGATAGGGCAGGTTGAGCCTTGTTTTGCATTAAATTTTCATGGGTTCTGGGTGCAAGAATCCTATATGTTGTGGGGGGAAGTATATTTTGCATAAAACCAACATTTTTAATATAAAGGTAGTTTTAAAACAAAAATAGGCCAGAATCCTGATGCTGATGTGGATATCCTTCATAGCACTGGTTCCCAAACTTGGGTAAACCAGGTATTTTAGGACTACAGTTCCCAGAAGGCTTCACCATCAGCAGTGCTGGCCAGGGTTTCTGGGAGTTGCAGTCCAAGAACACCTGAATTACCCAAGATTGGGAACCACTGCTCTAGAACATTGGAGCACATCCAGAACTTGGAAAAGTTACTTTTTTGATCCCAGACCCCCCCCCCCAAAAAAACACAACATGACCAGTGTCCATGCTAGCTGTTGATGTCTGGGAGTTTTAGTCCAAAAATATAACTTTTTGGGTTTCTGGGCAAATCTAGTCAACGTGGTGAGAGGCTCTTAGAGTGACTCTCAGCTGCTGTTTAAAAATGTTGCCATAGTCTGAAGTACTCTCTGAAGCTCTTCCATCCCTTTGTAGCTTTGCTTACAGGCAGAGCCCTTGTACCTCTGAGTTCATGATCTACCTATAACCTTGAGGACTGTGGCTAAAAAGCAGAATCAGTAGGTGGAGCAAATACTGGCTGTGGAGAAGCAAAACAGAAGGTTGCCCCATCTTTGCTGTACAACTGAAAGCAGGCAAAGATCTTTTTCTTCAAGCAGGCTTTTCCTGAGTGAACTCACAGCGGTTTCCAACCTTGAGTTCCCAGATGTTCCTTGACTGCAACTCCCAGAAATTTTGGCCAGCACAGCTAGTGGTGAAGGCTTCTGGGAGTGTTAGTCAAAGAACATCAGGGGACCCACTAGTCTAGGAAACAATGAACAGGGTGGTTTATGTTTTGTTGCTTCTAAATCTGTTTTTAATCATGCATTTACCTAACATTTTAAATATAATGTTACTAATTCTTTTTAAATATTTGAATAATTTACTGTTTTAGCTTTTGATATTGCATTTTTATGTAAATCACCGGGGAGGGGGGGTATTAGGAAGAAGGCAGGGAGTAGGCAGGCAGGCAGGCAAAAGATAGATAGATAGATAGATAGATAGATAGATAGATAGATAGATAGATAGATAGATAGATAGATAGATAGATAGATAGATAGATAGATAGATAGATAGATAGATAGATAGATAGATAGATTCATGCCTTCTTTTGAGATTATCCTATAGAATCACCTGTTTGACCACTATGAGAGATAGCACAATGGACCACATGGACTCAGAATGATCCAGTAAGCCTTTTCATACAGTGTGTGTTTGATCTCTATTCAAGCGACCATGAACCCATGGCCAGGAGGCCTATTGCAGAGCACATAATTTGGGATGGGGGTGGGAAAACCATTCACTGATGGTGTGCTATTAACTGAGTAGCCGTGGCAAAGGATCATAAGACCTTTTCCTTGAAAAAATGAAATGCCAGACTTACCCAATCATTATGTTACAGTTTGCTGTTATTTTGAACATGAAAAACATGAGAAGAGCCATCCAAAGGTTTGCTTAAGCCCACTGCAGTCCTGTGATGGCCACCCAAAAACCTTTGGGAAGCCCACAAGCAGGGCGTGGGTGCAATAAGACCCTCCCACTTATGTTCTCCCAGCAGCTGGTTACAGAGGCAGAGAGCCCCTGATATTGGTAATAAGCTAGAACCATCGAACCTAATAAGTCATACCCATTGACTCTCCTCTCTGAAAGCCTGTAAACAGCTGCAGCTTTTTATCTGAGTCAGTAGTTCCCAAACCTGTGTAACTCACATGTTCTTGAACTGCAAGTCCCAGAAGCCCTCACCACCAGCTGTGCTGGCCAGGATTTCTAGTAAATGCAGTCTGTTGGGAATCATTGATCTAATTCACCAGAAGAACATTTCCTTCTGTGAACTGATTGCTTAATCTGAAGGAAGAAAGCATAACTCAAAGACATATGTACATGAATATTTTAGACTTGGATGCTAGTCTACTTACTCCCCACCCTCTATTTCTAAGTGGATTGCATGAAATGTATACATACAGAGACAAAGAAGCCTACCATTCCAGTCTCATGCCATCATATTCTCCCTCGTGCTGAGATTCTTCCCATAGCCCAAACTCCTTATACGTCAGAAAAGAAGAAGCTCTGTCCCTCCAGCTGTCATCGCAATACAGTTCCCATGGTTTGATCCTGTTGTCTGGTCCTGATGGAAGTTTTAGTCTAGCAACATCTGAGGGCATCTCTTTCCCACTGATACTATTTATGCAGCATGTACAAAACATTGGTCAGGCAGATGATTATCCTCTTAGTATTATAAAGGGGGCTATGTGTGTGAGATGAGGTTCAGTTGGCAAACCATTTCCAGTGTTCACTGTTGTATGGAAGGTAATAAGTTAACATGTAAATTGCCCATCTAATTGCCCAAGGTCCCTGCCACCCACTAAATCAGCCTTCCCTTCATTCCCAGATTCGTTCTTGACTCAATGCCCAAGCACACATTGGAGCCCAGTATTAGAAGAGAGAATTCCTGAGAATTCCTGTATTTTGTAAATCAGCTTGTTTTGCCTTGTGATTTATCTTCAAATTATTAGCATACCCTTCACTTGCAAGCCTGATTTCTCAGACACAAAACTCTTAATGTCTCTAGAACATGGAAGTGATTATAGTTCTAATCATTGAGTTGTTGAGATGTACACAGAATTTTGCCCCCAAACATCCTGCCTGTTCAGCTCTGAATTTTAACACACATAACCCACTGTCTGTAGCCCAGCCAAGGTCATCTGATGTTCAGCCCTCCATACACTTTGGGTAAAGGAGCATTTCCCACCTTAGTTTCCAAGAGCATTACTCATTGACCTTCATGATCCTTCCAGTCCCCCCTCAAACATTCTCACAGCAGATCCTTTCCTGAATTATTGTTTAAAGGATGTGATAAATGAGACCAGGTTCTGAGCCCAAGGTTGGGGACCACTGGTTTAAGGGATGTGATAAATGAGACCAGGTTCTGAGTTAAATATTGGTTGTTGCTTGATCCTAATTTACCATGGGTGCTCATTTACCTCTTTGCAGGTAACAGTAGTTTCAGGTGTGTGAGTATGTGTGTTGTGAGAAATCACATTACAGCAGGGATGTAGAACCCATGGTCCTCCAGATGTTTGGGACTACTGCTCCCACAATCTTTTGTCATTGACCATGCTGGCTGGGGCTGATGGGCTAAAGGCTCCTCACCCCTGCATTAGGGAATTGGTGTGTGTCAACCCCTCTTTTCAAATCTTCTCCACAGTGCTTATTTTAGCAAGAACCAGAAGATGTCATGAGATATATTTACATATCTCTGACATCATGTCTAATTTGGCTGTGACATAAAAGGCAGCGGGTTTAAATTTCAGATAAATGGCTACCCGTAAAAATGTCTGGACAAAAGAACACATTACTTAAAGAGGATATGGTGTTCCCATTTCTTGATGGTAAGATGAGCTTTCTTGATATAGCATAAAATTATCCAGAGAGTTCTCTGAATATCAACACAACTGGCCAAATTAGAAGGAACACGTTCTCTTTGCTGTTGGAGGCACAGAGGAAGCAAAATTGCATTTGTTATGGGCTTGCTCAGAAATAGAGCCACATGCCAGGAAATAATTAAGCATACTAATCTACTTCTGTGTTCTAATTTGTAGCTTTTTATCTCTGCATATAATATTGGCCTATTTCCGAATAATTCACATTTTCAGGAAACAGAAGGATCTCGGATGAGAGACACATATCAGATGGCTAAATCACTTCTTCACAGGAGAAAGAAATGAAGAAATGAAGTTTCTCACTCTTTGATGTTGGGACGAATTTATTCTTCATCTGAAGGAGAAATCTTGAAGCACCAAAATATATCTGGCAACTTTTTGTGGCTTGTGTTGACCTGTAGGGTCCAGTGAAATGGATGACATGGTGACACCAATCATACCTGTTCCCTCAATCAATATCCAAGTCTCTATGTTTTTCTATTGATAATAACATATCAGCCAGTCTGCAGAAGGGAAGGGTTTATCCATAAATTAATCAAAGCACACCTTTCCTATTTCACACTTAGTAGGGATAGTCCAAGGAGAGTGCTGGTTTTCATTAAAAATGGGTCTGGCTCCTTGGTTTTAGTCCAAAATGTTCTGCTCCAACAGATTTTCTTAGGTGCTGCTAAACTAAAACCATTATTTTTGTTGTATATTTATGGCATGCATAATTCCGATTTCAGCATGGCTTCTGTGCCAAAGAAAAGACTGTCTCTGACTTCAGCTTTACCATCTAAAGAGGCATGATATGGAAAGAAAGAGAGATGGAGAGTAGAAAGGAAGGCGGGAGTTTTTTCTGGCACAAGTTCTCATGGTGACAAGTCTTCTCAGCCAAGTGGAGTGGATGCTGGGCGACAGTTTGGGAGTAGAGCAAAGCCCCATGAAGGTGGCATCTCAAAAGGGCTGCAGGTGGCCCAGCTTCTCTTCCCTCTTTTAGCTTAGAAACACTGGGTATGTGAAACAAGAACTTGTTCTTCTCTCCTTTGGCAGAAACAGAAAGGGTGTATCTGGTGACTTGGTGAGAACCACAGATGAGAATACTTGTGAAGGAAAGGGGCATGCATGCAAAGGTTTGTTCACAGCCACTCTCCACACCACTGATGCTCCTTCCTTTGCCCAACCTTTCGAGGCTGTCCCATCTTCTGCACATGTCCTCCTTTAGAGCATAGCCCTGGTCCCTGTGAGAGTTGATTGTCTTGCTAAAAGAAAATGACTTGTATTGCAGCTCATCCCCATTTGCTGGAGCTTCAGCGTGCAAAGGGTTAAGGCGAGCCATTGGCTGCTTAAGCGGGTGAGCTCATCTGAGCTGGAACATGCTCCACAGTTTATGAGGCACTCAGTGCAGATGATATCAGGGAGGGATAGCTGAGGGCTGGGAGGAAAGCTACTTAGGAAATCGCTACATCCACTTAGGACACATTCCGTGCCTATACAGCGCAGGGAGGCAGCTGCAGGGAGCCTCTGGCCATCCATGTAAGTAGAACTGCTTGCTGTTGTGGCTGGGAGGGGGTCGCCGTGAAGGGGAGCAGCAGCGAGGGGGACCCTACGATGCAGAGGCATTTGCCCCAAACACTTCCTCGGGACCCTGGAGGAATTTAACGTGCCTCCCACGCCTCATGCCCTGGAAAGATCCTTACCTGATTTCTTTGCATTTCCTGGGAGCTATTTAATAACCCTTGAAGCTGGCATAACATTCACTTCTCACAAGGGCTGAAGGGGGCTGGCCCTTAGGATGCACTCAGCACCAGGGAAACACAAATGGAATTAAACAGCTGCCTCTGAATCCCATCCATTTTCCCTGGCACAAGCATGATTGTCAGTGCAGACCCCAAGCCCCAACTTGGGGAAACTTTATTGGGCTGAATCTCTCTCTCTCTCTCTCTCTTTCTCTCTCGCTCCCCTTTCTGTGGCAATTTCACCTCAAAAGGAGGGGGTATGGCTGACTAACAGGGGTTACCCCCTAGTTTAAGTTGGGCTGACTTCAGGCTTGTATGGGCTAGGCTATTGTGATATTGCTGCTCTTTTTTTTAAAAAAAGTCATTTGTTTTTAAATTGTATTGATACAGAAGAAAGCAAAGGGGACCAATCTCCCCAACGCTATGGAGGTTTTGCACAGGGTCCTGGGTAGCTCCCCCTCCTTCTCATTCTATGGCAGGCCACTGACACTTCCATTTGAAGATGGATCTCAGTCACCACTTCCTCCCCTTACAGACTAGACACCACGAGGTTAAGCACCCCAGAAGAAGTGTCTGTGTCTGCTGGGCACCCAAATTATGGACAGGTTACTTCACTGACCAAGGCATTAGGGACTTCTTGATCTAAAGAGTTCTACGTGCAGACAATCCACACCAAGCAGCAGAAGAATCACAACTCTTTGCATCTTGACTTGCCAAGAGGTGTGGAATTCATTCGCTATGGTGGACTCTGCCAGACTGCCAATACCCTCTCATTCCAACTTTGGGGCAAGGCCAGCAGCACTAATGGCTGGAGGGACCAAGCAGTTGTTGGTAGGCAAAGGCCACTAAGACGTTGACATAACAGAACGCTCAAGCTAGAAGGCTTTAGAGGTAGGCAAGGCATTTTAATCTCACAAAGGATTTCTGGAAAGGTCAGAAGATCACATGGGAAGCTCCTGCTGCCTCCATCTCCCTAGGTGGCTCCAGCAATGTAAAGAATTAACTTCCTCCAATTTACTTCTTTGAAAGGTGCCAAATGGAAGGGGAACAAAGCTTTAGCCTGGATCACATGTCTGGCCTGCCTGCCTGCTTGAACATCTATTAGCAGAGCTAGACAGCACTGTAGTGTAAGAGCGCTAGAGCTGGTTGGGTGCTAGAAATCTTGCTGATAAATGTAGATCGTGTACAACTCGAAAAGTTGTAAAGTTGTAAAACTACTGAAAGATAGTGCATCCTATTGCCAATGTATCCCTTTTGTAAGGGACACTGTGTAAGTCATAGCTCATTAAAGAGGTGCTGGTTGCATTCCAGGCACCCAACCATACAACTAGGCATACAACCATACAAGTTAATGAGCAGCAATTTGCCCCTAAAACTTGTATGATTTCCATATGCAAATATAAAACAGTAATAGGATTCTGGTCCTTATAATTTTCCAAAATCTCAGGCTCAGTGGAGAGTCAGTTCATTCATGCACGCGCACACACGCCCAAGACACATGAGACACCTGTTCTACCACTGGGTTATAGCCAGCAAAAACATGAGACACATCGGCTTCTTAGCACAATGCCTTCAGGCGACCTGCTTCAACAAAGCATACAGCTGTGCCCAAGATCAAACATAGCCTAGGAATTCCCAAAACCAAGCTTCTGACGCTGGTATAATTCCTCCTCCCCTCCAGTCCCATGTAGGAGGAAAACAGTGGAAGAGGCTTTCTATGCAGCGTCTTGTATCACGGATGGAAGACTCTTCCTTTCCCCAGCCCATTCTCCTCCTTTCCCCTTCTCTCCTGCTTGCCTTTAGACTCATTAGCTTCAGAGAGGTGTTTCCAAATAATAATCTCCTATTATTGCCTCTAATAGCTCTGCTGTAAGGTGATAATGGAATTCTTATTGATTACTCATGCTTCACTGTAGTCACTGTAGTGTGGGGAGTTGAGTGCTGGGCTGGGGCTCAGGAGACCTGGGTTCAAATCTCCACCTAGCCATGGGTACCCATGAGGGAGTTACCATTTCAACTACTCCTGAAATGTCTTACATATCCTGAAAAATCTTACTAGGATCGCTATAAATTAGAATTGACTCTACAGCCCAAAAAACACACAGAAACATGTTTGGGGGAGTGTCTAACCCTCCTGGGGGCTCTTCCCTCCACAGTTTTCATTCATGTGATGGCTGTGATATGGACACTTGTTATCACCTCCTCTATTCCTGGTTCTCAGGACTGTTCCTTGCCCTTTCTTTCATCAGAATACTTCTCAATACCAGTTTAATGCTGTTTTCTGTGGTTTTAATTTTGTTTTCTCAAAAATAAAGAAAGCTGGAGCATAATAAAACTAGTAAATAGTTATAAAGGGGCTGTCTTTCCTAATGTTTTTCTAGTCTGTTTCAAACTTGTTTTTTTTTTAAAAAAATGTTAGAAAACTATAGAATAGGGTCACATCAACTGTCTGGTGTTTTTTTTCTGACATTGAAAGGGGTTCCTGTTGGACCCCATTGTTTCTAAACCTTTTTCTTCAAAGGAGGAGGGAAGGTAACCTCTGACACTGGGAGGCTGCATGTCAGTTTCATCTCTTTGACTCTTTGGAAAAATAGTCCAGGGCTGCTCCTGAACAATTTCGGTGCCCTCCTCTAGCAGAGGGCAATGCTGAATTTTAAGGGCCTGTAAGGCCACTGTAAGCTCCAGGACCTGGTCCTACAAAATTTGATTCAGAAGAAAATGCTTCTGTGTTCAGCCTCATCTCTCCCAATTCTGTAAGTTTGAGGAAGTCTTGCTGGGAAAGGGAAAGGATCCGACCTTGCAAGACATGAAATGACTCTACAAATAGGGGAGGTGCAGCAAGGGGTAGAGAAAGGAGGGGCATATAGGTTGATTATAAGTGGGAGATAAAGGTGCCTTAGCTTTGTGGGAAAATAGAGCGTGGTGATTGCCTGGAACCTTCCCAGGAATCCTGAAAAAGGAGGCCACCAAGAATAAAGAACAGCTGGACCTCATAACTCGCTCCCAGTGTAAATGCAGAGACAGGAAAACTGTAGCTGTTGAAAGGCTGTGGGAGTGCAACTCTCAATGCCCCTTGCTATTCCTAGTGCTGACTAGGGCTGGCGGAAGTTGTAATCTAACATCTGGTGAGACACATTTATTTATTTATTTAACTTCTATGCCGCCCACTCTACCCAAAGGTCTCTGGGCTGCTTACAACAATTAAAATACAATAAAAAGATAAAACAATTAAAATACAATTAAAATAGATACTCTAAAAATTGACATCAGGACCCACAGTTGATATTATTTCAATTAAAAGCCTTCTGGAACAGGAAAATTTTGACCTGGTGCTGAAATGTCATCAGTGTTGGCGCCAGATGAATCTCACTCAGGATGCTGTTCCATAGTCTGGGGGCAGCTGCTGAAAAGGCCCTTTTTCTACAAGCCGTCCCTCTTACCTCTTTGAGGGACAGCTCTTTCAAAAGGGCCCCCTGGCTAGATCTTAACTGCCGGGTAGGTTCATGTGGAAGGAGACGGTCCTTCAGGAATCCAGGGCCTAAGCCGTTTAGGGCTTTATATGTCAAAACAAGCACTTTGAAATGGGCCCAGGCAGCAACTGGTAGCCAATGTAACTTAAACAGAATCGGCTTGATGTGTTCTCTAGCGGCCCCACCACTCACCAGCCACGCAGCTTGATTTTGGACCAGCTGCAGTTGCCAGACCATCTTCAAAGGCAGCCCCACGTAGAGCACATTGCAGTAATCTATACGAGATGTTGCCAGTGCGTGTGTAACTGTCATGAGACTCCACTTGTCCAGGTAGGGCCATAGCTGGTACAATTTCCGCAGCCCCTGAAGGAAGGCGCCCCTGGCCACAGAGTCCACCTGGGCTTCCAGAATTAGACTGGGGTCCCGGAGCATCCCCAGGCTGCGGACTCTGTCCCTTAGGGGGAGCGTAACCCCATTCAGGGCAGGAAAATGTTCCCTACCTCTAATGAAGTGGATGTCCCCCATCTCCTAGTAATCCCAAGGCTGTCAAAACATGAGTCTTCTGCTTCTGAAACCTCAGAATGTATTTACCACATGCTTGCAAAGTGTAGGACTGGTTCGAGGGTAACATGTAGCTTCTTGCTGACAAGCCCCTAAAGGAAAAAGAAGCTGAGCAGAAGAAATGGCAGATTGTTCACTGAAAAAATGTGAAGTGCTCACTAAAGTTCAGACTATCGACATTATGTTGAAGGGATGCTTAAATCCTCTGGTTGGGGTTACTGGTATTTTTATTTCTTTACAAAATGCAAGGGGCCCACAAGACAGACTGAGACCATCAAGGTCAAAAGTATGACACTCAAACAAGTTCATCTGGGTATCAAGGTATATGTCATTTACTTGCCTGGTTCACCAGGAATGGCAAGGTGCAAGAAGTACTTAATTCATCTGGTCTCCTGGCTGGCTTGCTGACACTATAGCTTCCAAACTTACTTCATCTCTCTTCAGAGGATGAGAACCAAACAATGTTTTCACTCATTGTAAACCAGGCAGATAAAAATGAGTCCTGGAAACATTAGGCTGTCTGATTCCACAAGCTTTATTCTTCCACGTTTCTTCTATGTACAAAAGGGGGAGATAAAAGCCATCAGGAAATACTCTGCTCGGGTAAGCATGAATGCTTCAACTGAATATGACTATTAATCTGCTTATGCTCTAGACTTAAAGAGAGCTATATTTTTAAAGTTATTCATGTTTGAAGATATATTCCATAGATGAATCAAGTCCTTAAGACTTCATTTATTCGTTTATTTATTGGAACTGTTATACTGTATTTCAGTCTTAAGACTCCTATGTCTGCTACAATTTTTTCTGAGAGAAAAGTTATTGCATTCAATCCTGCTTGCGTATTAAATAAAAAGAAGAAGAAAGAATAATTCTTCTGAACACATTGTGTGCTTCTTGGGCAAAGGATTTAAAGGATATCCAGAAAGCAAAAGTTGTTTGTGCAGAATAAATCTTCTGATTCACACTGAAAACAATACCTTTACATAGGGATTGTTAGCTGTGACAGATTTCACAGGTTGAACAGACAAGGAGTGTTATATACTATAGTGCTCTGAGGCTATTGTTCAAGCATCATACTTTTGACTTTGACAAGAAGTTGGCATGGAGTTCTCAAGAGCTGGCTAGGGAATCTTCTGTAAATCCTGTTCAATGCATTCATAAGTCTAGAGTTACCAGCATTCTCTCCTGTTAGGTACGAGAGCTTTTGTCTGATGCCACATCTGCCATTCTAGACAACAAGAAAAAGGACAGTCCCTCTCCTGCATTATTCTATTGCAGATGAAGGGAAACTTGGGTATAGAGGGGGTAATTTAGAATTATCTCATACAGAGTCCAAGAATATATATTAGTGTGCTGGCTAAACAGTCATTCATAGTAGATTTGTCCATTACACATGCCTCCATATTTATTTATTTATTTATTTATTTATTTATTTATTTAATATGCCGCCCACACTACCCAAAGATCTCTGGGTGGCTTACAACATTTAAAATACAATAAAAATTCAGAACAATGAAAATGCAATTAAAATATATATAAAAATTGCTATCGGACCCACAGCTGATGTTATTTCAATTAAAAGCCTTCTGGAACAGGAAGGTTTTGACCTGGCGCTGAAATGTCATCAGTGTCGGCGCCAGACGAATCTCAGTCCATATGTGTTGTTATTAATCTCCCACTGACAAGGACACATTTGCCAGGCTGTTCACATTACCACTTTGTTTTAATGTTATACAATTCAACAATAGCAGTGAGGGTCAAGGTAACTGGAAGCTGACTTTATATAAATCCTCACTGCAAGAGTAATTGGGATGCTGATTGCTTTGCTTCAGTGCCTGTGGAAGGTGGCGGTGTTCTTTCACTCCTTCCCGCTATGTTAGTAGCATGTCTGTTTGTCTGTCACACAAAGAAGTAGGATTATAAATCATGGATTTGTCATACCTTGCTCTTCCCTCCCTCTTTCAAAACAAATAACTTAGCTGGGACATTAACCCCTCCCCAAAAACACCCCACAGCAGCCATATACAAGACAGTATAAAATAGTATAAATCAACGGCAGCAGAAAGATCCCAGATTGTGTCAATGATACATAGGAGAGCAACTCTTCTCCTAAGGATCATAGTGTGGGTGTGAGACCTCTTGTTCTCAGGCAGATGATATGCAGGGGGTGGAAGTCAAGGAAGCCTACCATGTATGCTAGCTTGAATGGATTCTCTGTGTCCATGTCCTAGGGACACACTAACTGAACACTGGAATATTCATGATTTACACTTCCATTATGATTTCTCAGTTCTTAGCTTTTAAATCCTGCAAATGCTATGCTCATTGTGGGCATCCTGTGTGAAGAGCAGAAACTGGAGTGGGATGCAGTGTGACATGACTGATGTTCTTGGGAAAAATAGATGGATGTGTTTTCCTTTAGGTTATCTGGTGCCTTTATGGAACAGAGCACTCTAGGTCACACTGTGTTTACAGAATAAAGGCCCTGTTGGAGGCAAGGCAAAGCACAAAGCAGCCACCTGGCCAGGGAGACAAGCAGAATAGCACAGGACAGAATGTAACTAATATTATAATGTCACCAATGCAACATTAAACCCTGTCACCAATTTTCACCATCCACCATGCACTGCAGCAGGAAAGCTAGGACACCATCAACGATGGGTGGAAGGCCCTATTTTTCTCCCAGCTTTTCATGACATTTTGGAGTCAGTCAGAAGTTAGTTTTTAATTGACTGATGTTGTCACTACTTCCCTCCAGTGCAAGGGACTTGGTCCTTTAATGTTTATTTTTCTACCTGGTTGCTTTTATACAGTCTTTGAACAGAGCAGCTGAAAGGCAATACAGAGCTTTTCAATGAATAGACCATCCCTGTGAGCAGACTTCCACCTGCAGTTGATGCCACTAGGCATCTGCTGAGGTCCTGGGACTCACCCTGCCAGCTGAAGGAACAAGCTTGCTACTTCCCATTGCTGCCTGCAGTCTTATGCACTGAAGAGACCAAGTGCTTTTCCATTGGGGAATGGGAGGCATTTTCCTGAACTTTCTATGGCAATGCAGGGATTACTGGGGAGACCCACCATTGCTCAGTTTGAGGGACAATCTGGGGGAGCAGAAAATAGTCTCAGGCACTAAGCCACAGAGGAAAGGGGGTAGAGATTAAATGGGATTTTGCACACCTGCCATAATCCAAAAGACAGGTTCTTTCTAACTCAACTGAGAAGGTTACAGGATCAAAAAAAATGTGGTGACTGAACTTCTAAAGCAGGTTTGGCACTAAAAATATGTATAGACCTACTATGCTCCCTCAGAAGCACTGAGGACTGATCATGCTGGGAAAAAGCAAATCGGCCAAGCACCAAGGTGGAACTGGCCGTCTGACTCACACCTGGGATATGTCTGAAACAGCTAACTCATTCCTCCTTCATAAGCTACACAGAAAAAGCATTCCCTGAAAGCTTGGGTGGGAGACTCATATCTATGACCACCCAAACAACCTGGCACTTTGTCTTCTGCTCCCTTTCCTAGACATTTGAATCCTTCAAGCCTGCAAAACTGGTAGCCATGGAAAGCCAACCAAAAGAAGCCGAGGAGGCTGAGAAGTCCCCTGAGTCTAAGGATCTGCTGCCCAGCCAAACAGCCAGCACCTTGTGCATCAGTTCCCGCAGCGAGTCTGGATGGAGTACTCCCCCACCAAACAAGTGGGATGTTTATCATAAGCCGGTCATTGTATTGTCAGTGGGTGGAGCAGTCTTCCTCTTTGGAGTGGCTATCACCAGCTTGACCTGCCTCACCATAGACCAAAACAATACTGTCAACAACAACAACACCAAGAATGTGTTTAAACTGTGTGGACCAGCTTTCCTGTCACTAGGCCTCATGCTACTGGTCTGTGGGCTTGTCTGGATCCCCATCATCCGCAAAAAGCTTCGGCAGCAGAAGCAGAAATATCACCTCCTCCAGAGTATTAAGTCTTTCTTCCTCAACCGCTGAAGGCATCTATTCTCAGTTCAGCCCCAAGGGGAAGAGGACTGGGTTAGCAGGACAGAGCCCCAACTTTGGATCTGTAACTCAAGCTACCAACATGCTCCCCGGAGGGAGTGGTCTCTCTATGCTCCTCCTCTTTCTATGGGTAGGGGATTCACACAGAGAGAGAGAGAGGCACAGGCAGTATTGGATGATCTGGGGCCCTCAACCCATAAATAAGTTTCACTTTTCTCTAAAAGGGTAGGCCATGGAATTGGCAGATCAAATTCCAAAGCAGCTGTTTTGAATAAACTTGTGTTTTATTGTTAGGAACATTGTTTAATAAGGTACACTGTCTATAACTCAAGAGTCTGATTGCACAACATCATTCATCAAAAAGCTGAGGCAAAGTCCATGATCACCCACTCTCCACAGTGGGACCAGTAACTGTGGCTCCACTGACAAAACAGTTAGATTTTTTTCTTATAACAAATGACGTTTGGTTTGAAAACAACCCAAAACTGCTTGCAGAAAAAGATGCTGAAAAAGATAATTTCAGTGGCCACAGTTTTCCCCCTCCTTACAACAAATCCCTTCTGCAAGCACATAACATTGTGTAAAAATATAAATTCTGCAAGAATCTTGGACTCGGGCCAAAGAATAATATGTGAAGCCAGAAGCAGCATTAGAGATAGCCAGTAATTAGAGCTGAAAGCACATTAATGTTGCAAGGAGGTGATTCAGGCAATCTTTCCACGTTTGTGAAATGAGATGTCAAAAAAAAAATCCTATGCTTAAATCATAGAGACCAGCCATCAAACAAAACAATCTGATCTGCATATTTCCGGAGGTTAGAGAAGGTCCCTTCTGTCACACTCAAATATTCACAATAGTTAAGACTTTTCTCTTTTGCTCACAGGCTGTTCCTAACATCTGTTTCTGGCCTGCATTATTCTCAAAGTGCTGTGAATGTGGCTATCAATTTTTCTCAAAAAGACAGATTATGAGGGTAACAAGTATTTGAAAGGAAAGGCATATACATCTACCATTGTAACTGAGAAAGCTTGCAGTTTTGTAAGAGACTTGGGTCTTCATATAGAATCGTTCACCAATGCAGCCACTGTTTTTGAATACTAATGGTATTTCTTATCTATCTTTGTGTGTTTTGGAGTTGAGTCTGGGAAAACACCTGAACAAAAATTCTTGGTGGTCATCAAAAATGGTTTCCAGCAGCTTGTCATGTTGACTAAATCGCTCAAGAACAACTTTGAAAGTCATGAATGTGAAACTGACTTTAGAAAACATGGACATCTGGAAAAGAGGAGGTGTGTATGGATGCATAAAATGCCATTCTTCCATGTACATAATGATCCTTCACAGTGATCAAAAAGAAGAAAGTGCATCCATTGGCAATGCCCTTAGCTCCAGAGGGAAGCATGACTCATTGAAATGGTGATCTAGCACAGTAATTAAATAACTGAAGGTCCAGCTTCACCTCAAGCCCAGGCAATGACAGCCAGCAGTGTGTTGGCCTTGGCAAGGAATTAATAACTTTAAAATATCTGAGCTCCACATAGTAAATGGGTGTATAAAGAGAGAGGGTTCAGCAAGCTGGAATACAGAGATTGGGACTTTGACTCTCCACTATGCTTCCTAGAAGAAAAACCAACCTGTATAGCCCTGGGCAAGCTGTACAGTCAAAGCAGCACCAGAAGAAGGTCCACTCTTTCTGAGTACTTTTTACCTAGAAAACCCTGGCAAGGGTTGTGATAAATTGTTACTTACTTGATGGGCAGCACACAATTATTTTAGTGTAAAAAGATCTGCATAGAGATTGTGCTTACATTGTCTCTGGAAATATCATCGGAACTGGTTCAAGGACTACTGGATTGAACCGGCCCTTGTGATGATGTAATGTGGTATTTGTTTAGAAGAATTTAAGGGGCACAATCCAGAAGCCTCAGATGTTGCTTCTTACAGGGGCCTTAGATTAATGTTACAATAGTTTCGCATAGTTGCCTTTTGGATCCTGCATTATGCCAAAGTGCCTCCTTTCAATGCTGCTTTGTGTATTTTTCCCCTCCCAAACTGCCTCTTTCAACCATTGAGCTACACAAAAATTGATCTCCTGGTACCGTGCTATTTGATCATAAGCAACTGGCCTGCATCTCCACTGTTTTTAATCTGTGCTTGGGAAATGGGGAAGCCTGTTCTGTTTCTGTTCCATCTCCACACCACACTACAATCCATCACTACAACCAACAGTCATGGGCACTCATATTTGCATCCCCTCAAATACTGGCAAGATAGTGGCATTCCCTATATGTTATACTTTAGTCCACCCTTTAAATATGGGATAGAGTAGCCAACTTGTTACATATACGAGCATGCGGTCTCCCTGTCTTAATCATGATGATGCATCTTCTTGTGCCAGTGATGAAACCAAAAAGGTAGAGAGTGGCATGCTTTGTTTTAGCAGTTTCCAATCCTTGGGCATCTCCAAGTGGCTCTCAGGTCGCAATCCGATGCTCCTGAGCTTATAAACACTCAGATTTCAAAGGCTTTTCCATGCAAATGAAAAACCCAGACAGACAAGTACATCTCCAGGTATATTATACACCTCACATAGTAGTCCTGTAAATCCAGCTTTAAGGTGAGTACTGAACACCCTGGAATTGCAAGGTCTTGTTGTCTATTGGTCTGCTTTTGTGGACAGAAAGAGGTGTTGCCTTAGCTGGCCCTCTTGCTGATCATAGCGTTTTTGTTTTTGTTTTTATTTGGGGGGGGGAAGAGATCTTGCAAGATCTACTGAATTTGAACAGTAGGGGTGTACAGAAACTGAATGAACCCTACAAAGTCTCACTGGAAAATAACAGTGTGGTTTGTGTACTCCCATGCTGAGTATTCATAGCGTGGAAAGATACAGCGAGTCAAAACACGACAAAAACATGTGAATAAAAAGTATACAAAAGGCACCGAGGGTGGGTCTCTGTTACTCATCACTGTTTCTAAGGCTATAGCTGGCAAACACTTGTGACATTCACAGAATCACATGCCAATGATTGCATTTATAATGCACATGCTATCTGGGGAAAGCATCAAGTGTGTCCGGTGCTGAGAAAATATTTGTCTCTGTTACACGAGCACCACCTCAGATAAAAATACCTGGATATCCTAGGGGGAAAAAAGAGAGAGGAGCATAACCAAGAAAGGAATAGAACTGGGATTCTGTTTGGTAAGTAGATGCAACAGCAGCCTCTTACTTGTGAGTTAAACACACGCTGGCCCTGTTGCAGCAGCATCAGCTCTACACCTGATATACAGCCATTTCTATCTGAATCAAAATTGGAGATAATGAGACTAATGTTCTTCTGCCAAAGTTAGATTTAGAAGGCTATTCATAGCACATCTACTCGGATGTAGGCCCCATTTAACTCAGGCTGACTTACTCCAAGGCAGGTATATAAAAAATTACAGCCTTGGTTGTATGCATGCCACAGGGTAACATAACATCAGTAGCAGCCTTTCTGTCTTTCTGAAGAAGCAGTCCAATAATTGTGCGTCATTTCTGTTATGCTGCTGTTCAGCTGTGTTGTGATGAATGATCCTTCCTCCCCTTAAAAGAGTTGATCTTTCCGATGGAACATGAGGGTGGGAGAGGGATTGGAGTCTAATGGGAGCACATCGTATCTCTTGGAAAGCACTCACAAGTCAGCTTTCCATTCAGGAGGATGGCGGCCAGCTAAGTGTTTCCTGACACTTACCACGCTGGCATTGCTGCCATGCTTCTCTGAATCAATGCTGTCAAATTACTGCACTGCTTTAGCTTACACAGCTTGCTGTTAAATCAAAGGAAGGAATGCTCTCCTCTTCCAGAAGTGGCAGAAATAGCCAGGTCATCAGAATAATGTGATTGGAAGGGAGAAAACTAGATCCATCCCCCACCAATTATTCCCAGACAGACAAAATTCTGATAGACAACACCAGGGAATGGGCATCTACAGAATCAGACTTTCAGTGAATGGATGGCTCTACCTCTGGTGGCAATTTTCAACTTCCTCCTCCCATCCTGCATCCCCCATGGCTTCCAGACAATGAAAGCTATTTCACCAGAGCCTTGGAACCTTTGGGAGAGAAGTCAGAATTTTTTAGTTTCCAAAAAATGGATGCAGCTGATGACACCATCAACTTTACATGGCAACAGGATTTCAGCCCATGAATTGTATGTCTTGGCGGTGGTGGCGGCCGAGAAACCTGGACAAAATTAAAAGCATCTCTGGTTTGAGATAAATAACTGGGACCTCTACAGGAGCAAATGTCAGTTAAATAATATATCCCATCCAAACATCACTGGCTTGACAGCTCAGTGGAAGGGAGCACAAGGCTGTAGAGCCAAGGGCCGAGCATTTGAATCTTTAGTATTCCATGTAGGAGGGGAATGAGCCAATGTGGTCCTTGGGAAGCAACATGGCCCCAGAGCACCCCAAAAAGAAAGGGATGATAAACCACTTCTAACTACTGGATTTCTAGAAACCCCTGGCAATGGTTGGCATTAAGTTAGAATTGCCTTAACTCTCTCTCTTTGTGTGTGTGTGTGTGTGTGTGTGTGTGTGTGTGTGTGTGCACGCACATGCGCACATGCGTGTCTGTCTGTGTTCCACTCCCCCAGTCAGTTTCCATGGCCAAGTAAGGATTAGAACCCTTTTCTCTGGAGTCCTAGTCTGTCACTCTATCCACTGGACCACACTGGGAGTTGATAGCAGTATATAATTCATTATAATTACCCCTGTATCATTCCTCTGTAATTTCTTCAGTTTCCTGCTATTGGCTTGGACTGACAAGATGACACAGGCTTATGCACATCACAACCTGCACAGCCAGCCATGACGCTAAGTAGAATGAGCAAAGAAAGGCCAGCAAGTTTTTAGTCACCTGAATGAGGATTTTTGTTTTTTTACTCTCAGAGAGAGGAATTTGGGGGAAGACGCCAACTGTTTTGGCTCGTGGTACACACTATGCTCCTTGGCTGAAGGGAGGGGCATCATTTGCTGCTCCAATTCAGACAGCAAAATAGCTCGGGCCTTGACTGGTTGTGACATCGATCTGCCCTGGATTCAGCTATTCCTTGTCTATTCCACGACACAATCCCAAAAGACATAAAAATCTAGCAGGAAACCTCCTGGAAAAGAAACACAGCCGACCAAAGGTTTTGTTGACTTGTTTGCCCTTTTTTATCCTGCCCTTCCTTCAAGGAGCTCAGGGGTGACAGATAAATTCTTTCTCCCACCAAACCATCTAGGAAGCGGGCTTAGGCTGCCTGGCTCCGAGTCACTCTGTTTTGTTGCTGAGTAAAGATTTGAATTTGATTCTTTCCCATTCTAAACTATCAATGTTATCCCACTGTGTTTTGAAGCCATTTCCAAAGAAGGAGCTATGTTTTTTTTAAAAAGCCTCATGGCACAGTGGTTAAAACTGCCGTACTGCAGCCCAGACTGTGCTCACAACCCACAACTCAATCCCAGGTAGCCGGCTCAAGGTTGACTCAGCCTTCTGTCCTTCCGAGGTTGGTAAAATGAGTACCCAGTTTGAGGGAGCGGGTTTGTAGCCTGCATAATTAACTTATAAACCGCCCAGAGAGTGCTTGAAGAGCTATGGGGCGGTATATAAGCAGCACACGTTGCTTTGCTTCATCTGTCTCAGCAAGTTGACAAAAGGAAAGAAAGAACAAAGAACAAAACAAAATGTTGCAAAAAATGAAATAAATAATAGTATAGAATATTGTTCATATTAATAATGGAAGCCACACTGAAATAATTTTTTAGTATTTGAAGTCCTACAATATTTCTCTCCCCCCCCCCCACCGCCCTTTCTGGCAACATGTTTCGAAGGACAGAACTTCCACTTGGACAGCCAGAGGCAGCATAAGAAATGGTGTGCTGACCTCTTACTCGCTTCTATAAATCTCCTCCAGTGTCCCTTTTGGGAGATTAAATATGGTCTCTTGTTGAACTGAATTTATTTAGTGGTGGTGCTGACAATGCTGGTTTAAAACAACCATGGCAGTGGTTGTTTTGAGAGCCTTACTAATAAACCTTTTGCTAACAAACCTTATACTCTTGATGCCAGCATGGAAAGAACTGCTAGAGACTTTCAGGGTCTCTTTATGTGGGAGCCACTGGGGCCGTCTGAACTACTTAACAGGCTGAAGCAAGCATCAGGGACACAAGCAGTGACTCTGAGACCCTGACTCAGGCTCTCTATGTCAAGCTCTATAGTCTTCTCTGAAGGTCACTAACATCTCATCACCATCTGCATCTCCCATTTGAGATGAATGGGAGTCCAGTGATTGGCCTTCAACTCCAAACCTGTAGCAGCTCCACCTCCTAAGAGGTGTTTGATTAAAGCTTGCACTATAAGGACAGCTAAAGTTACTATCTCAAGTGAAGCCGTATCTTGGAAAGACTGTCACAGGAGAGCTACTATTAGGCATGTAGACACCAAACAAGACAGACTAGTGGCCTGACCAGGAATAAATTAATTCTCCAGATCCCTCCCTGCTCTCCCTTTTCTGAACCCCAGGCAGGTGATAGATACATCTCCAATACATGATAGATGCAGTCACAGTCTTGTCAGTAACAAAGCAGATGAACTCTAATATTCTCTCTGCTTGTTGCAACTTTGCTAATTCTTTATTCTGGCTCATTTCATACACCATCACTTTGACTGAACAGGAGAGATCCAAGCAGAGACACTTGCTAGAGTATAATCTGCCCAGTGAACAAGGCAGCATTGCACACATTCCCTCCCCGCATGCCGACAATTTAGACCAAGCAAGTGATTTGTAGTACTGGCCCACCAGACATCACCAACCTGCAGAATGAAGTGTGTGATTAATATCATAGGTGACTGTGTGCATTAAGTGAGCCTACAATCTGCTGCACAGTTGACTGTCAATTGAGCACAGAAAGGCAAGAAGGGACAGTTACCAGTGCCCTGATGTCAACTGGAGAAAGACGACAGCAAGGAGATATGGGGAATCTATAAAAGCACTTCAAATAAGAAAACAAATGGCTAAATCAATTGATTAGTTCCACCTATTGAATGGGCTGGTTTTCTTAAGTTATGTAAACTATACTGAGTACTCTACTTTATTTGTGACTAACTTTTGGATTTAGCCCACTTAAAAAAAAATTCTTGTAATCAAAAAGATTTGTATACAACCCTCCCGGACAAACCTCCTGTCATATGGCTAGTCTCAGTTGCACAAGCCTTTTGCACAAGTTTTTTTGCACATGTTTTTGCACAAGTTGCACAGGACTCCAGCATGTCCACATTTAGGCGTCCCATCTCTTCCAGCTCTCACTGATCCTCATATAATGCTTTATTTCAACAATTCTTGGTCTCAACTGATAGGGCTAGGAAAAGAACCTGCTTTATACTTGGGAGAGTTGTTGTCGCTCTGTGTTGACAATATTGTGTAAGATAAGACTCGTAATAATAATAATCTTAGAACTGCAGAGCTGGAAGGGACCCTGCAGATCATCGAGTCAAGCCTCTGTAAAGGGTGCAAAGTGGGGAATCAAACTCCTGCTCCGCAGCCAGAAAGCTATGATCAGACTTGGGATAAGACAGCTTTCTTCCAATGTCTGGTGTCCCAGAAGTCCTGCAGCTGGCCCTCAATGCTACCCTAAAATACACCTCTTTAGATCTTGTGTGTACGCTTGTATTCAATCCACAGCAAAATACAAAAACATAAATACTTCAACAACAGTTCTCTCTGTGCTGCAGTCCCAAATGATTTTTCCTTCAGCCTAGTGAAAAGGCATGGGCAATTTCCTTTCTCCATTTACTTCAAAGTAAGTTTAATAAGCCCTGGAAAAGCTCGTCCCTCACATTTTGCTGCTAAATGGTGGAGCCAGATTTTTGTCCAAAGACAATCTTCCGTGGTCACATGGCCAGTGCGACTTAG